CATAAATGCATATGTACCCAAATACTAGTATGCACGCATATTTGCACTTGCTCATGTACATACATATGTATGTATGTATCTTCGAATGTGTGTAGTGTTATGTTGATGTTGCGCAATGATGCCACACAAAAAATGACCTTTCATTCATACCTGTAATATGTACGCACATACATACATACATATATATGTATATGTAGCTCCATGCAATAAGTATTTTAATACCGAATGTGTGGCATATTGCAGTGCAATCAGGAGCATGACGCGTTTCCATAACGGCTCATCGTTACAAATACCCACTAACCTACGCGCACACAGCGGCAGCAACACAACAACAAAGCTACAGCGCAACAGATAAACACCACCTGATTCAACTGAATGCAGCCAGACGCACTAGATGCGGTTGACTGATGGTTTCCATATAAAATTTGTAAATAGAATGGCATACATACATACAAGCATAGTTATGTAGATGAAAGCGCATAGAAAAAGTAACAGTGCTTTTAGTTCGGTGGGTGTGTATGCATTTGTTTAATATACATACATGCATATGTATGCATGCGCGTCTGCTGAGCCCAACTTAGATAGAAAATTTGTGCAAATATGTAAATATGTCATTTGTGTTTTCAATTTCGACCGCAGCAACAAAGGTCCATTCAGTGCGCATCACTGCAATGTAAACAAACTTTATATGTAGGTAAGTATGTATCCTGTGACTGCAAGGATATTGTGCAAATTGTCTGCGGTTATATACATACATATGTACATATACACATGTATATGCATTTTCATATTTTGTTTTGATATTATTTTTCATAGCAATTGCACGCTTATCAGTGGGACATAACAACGTGCGCATTTACCTTTCCTGTAATACTCACCGACATCCATACAGTATGTACATATGGCAATATGCAGTACACATGTGCGTAGAATCAACTTGCCTCGGCACGCATATACATACATACATACATATGTATGATATTGTGCATCTCCTTCATTTAATTGCATAAGGCTGTGCTTTGTGATTCGAATATACTGTATATGTACAGTAGTATGTACCTGTCTCCTATATACAAGTAGATATGTATGTACATATATGCCTATATTAGCTGCAGCGGCTGTTATCGTTGTGGATTTGCATACAGAACAAGAAAAGTCCTTAATTTTGACTACACCAAAACTAAAATACCTTTCAATGGAACATATGTATGTAACTATACATACAAACACTAATAGAAACATGCGAAACGTTGGGAACCTCATAAAGCATCAACCTTCATAACTAACCCGAAAACGGTCGGCATTCAGTGGAAAATTATTTTCCGTAGACTCGCTGTTTGATACATAAAACCCTCAAGTCGAATTAAGGTTACTTAATAAATGAAAAGAAGTATGAAAATCTTTATTTGCTTTTGGTCGTTCAGTTTGTGCAGCAGTTGGCTCTTCTTGAGAATGATGCATGAAAAATTTCAGATTGATATCTCAAAAATTAAGACTAGATCGGGTATTTACAGGGCGACCTGACTAAATCAACTCAGCGCGTCGATCATTTTTACATAACATATACTTCATAGAGTCTTTGACGTTACCTTCTGCATATTACGGTATAATAGAATGCCATGATACTGTCGGCACGCAATCCTGGTTACTGTAAAAAAATAGCTTTGGTTTGTCTAGAGCAATTGTCACTTCTGTTTGCGTCTTCTTCCTCATTTTTTCTTTTTTTCATCACTCGTGCCTTCATTCGTTCTAATCACAAATGCACACAATTCTATGTTTTTGTCCAGACCCTTTTCTAACTAACTTAATATCCGGCGACAATTATTGCTTTATACACATACACATATGTAAACATAAGCTAAAAATACATATCATTGTTGTTTACATACATACATTGACTGCAACTAAAAATAGTTGAAATTGGAAAGTCTTTCATCAAGTAATTAAGCGCCTTAGTAGCTATTCGTAGAATTCTTAAAATACATTTCATTTGTGTAGACTTCATTGAATTCACATGAGATGGCACTGTTGTTGCATCTAGTCGGTCAAAAATATATTTAAGCATTGTATCTCATAGCGCTTAAGTAAGATTTTTTATTTGATTTTTTTATATTATTGTTATCAGTAATATTAATTATTAAATTTAATTTGCAAGTGTTGTTGTTATTGAGAAACTCATTATGCCTAATTTTACTAAATATTGTGTAAAATTTCATGCGTCTAAATATCGGTATAAAATGTAATAAACATTAGATTCAATGTAGCTGACGGCTATTGCACAAAAAAGAAGAAGAAAAGTTACAACTAACTGTAATTACAAATAATAATATATGTCCAAAATAAAGGCTTATGTTTATAATTGTTTTTGTTGTGAAACTCCAAATAGTTGTCGGAAAGAATTTCACTACTGGCGTAGGCCTTGATCGATAATAAATCCAGCTGCAAGCGGTTGCGTAGACCAGATGTTCTCAAGACAGTTGCTTCTACTTAACCAAAACGGACAAATTAATTCAGGGATGCTATCAGCGAATACTATAACAAGCCGACGTGTTGTGGAAATGCTGTAGGGTATTGTTCATCGTAATAAGCACAAAAGTAAACATAAACTAAAGTTAACTTAACGCAAAAATCAACTTATAATAGCACATGATCAATCATAAAATAGTTGAGTATTTTTTTTTTTGTTCGACAATTTCAATGGTCAAATACATGCACCTTCTATTTTCAATTACACAACCATTTTGCACGTGTATACCAGTTATTTCATAAAATGGATATTCGACAGTAAAACAAAAAATCATTAGTAAAAATTAGAACAATAATAGTAAATTGCATGGCAGCGTCTGAAATCTGTGTTGCAGGAGTAAAATATTTGAATTTTCTACAATATAACATTATTTTGCTAATCTTTAAAATACTGTTTTCACTTAGCCCTCTTAATATATATTCAATCTTCAGATGTAGGTTTGGATGCATTCGAATTATCATCGACTTTATCATATACTTCGCAACCAACTTTATTTTTTGTACATTTTGGAGGCGTATTACGCGAACTCAACACATACGCACGCATACGAGCTTTGTGTTCTTGTTCGTTTTGACGCATTCGTGCATTGTGCTCTTCGCGCATTTGACATAGCTTCAACTCTTCATTTTTACGATAATAACTTAGTTTCAGTTCCTGATGTATTGTTTCGAAACTTAGCCTTTGCTCATGTTCAATGCGTGCATGCTCGATTTCGGCCAGGTGCGAACGTTTTATCAGGTCGAAAATTTGTTTCTTATATTTTTCATCGGTTGGAAGAATTTTATAGATTATGTCGTCTGCACTCAAAAGCGCCCTGGAAGTTTGAGCATCACTTTCGCTGTTGGCGAGTAGTTCAGCGTCGTTTTGTGTGGTCTATGAGCATTAGAATAATGAAAAAAATAAATAAAAATTAATTAGCTTACACATTTGAAATCAAAATCAAACGCAATTACAAAATTAATCACATACATTTAAACGCTGCAGTTTTTTCACTTTGCTGCCACCGTCGGCGCTAGCATTGTCATTGTTTTGCAACTTTTTCTTTTGTATTGGCTTTTTTCTTTGGCGATTGGCTGTGTTCTGTTGCGGCTGCTCCTTCAATGTAACTTCTGGCTGCGATTCAGCGGATTGTGGTGGGGAAGGCAATGCAAGCGTCGATGCTTGCAGGGTATCATCACTAGTGGTTGTCGTTGTGGGTAGGGCCGCTAGAGGCGTATCTTCATCGTCGATACTTAGTAACTCTTTCTTGATTATAATGCCGTTGCTCCGTCCGTGAGGGCGTGAATTGCTTGGATCCTTTTGCATTTCTTCCATGAACTCTACCATGGACAAGCCCTCCAATGTCCCAGCATTTGGAGTCTTTTGCTGGTATTCCCGTTTTGCTGTGTTTTTCATACTTCGCCATTGAACCTGAATTTGTTCCAGAGAGCGATGTCGGAAATTTAGTACGTTGAATCTGAAATGTATACATACATATATACATAATATTAAAAAATATTATTTCATTATATTGCTGCAATATACTGTTTAGTGATATGCATCCAGGCAAGGCGTTTCGACTTTATGCTTTTGGAGTCAACATTACGATTTTCAACATATTCTACTTTTGGTTTTATAACTTCGACCAAGAGACACTGCAAGAAAAGCAACAGGCATCAATTAATATATTCATTATTTACTGCATTTATAACTTTTTATTGAGACATTAGGTCTTTTATGTGTAGTACTCACCCGTTCAGCCTCCTCCCAATTAGTTGACCGCTTTTTTCTGGTGCCCTTTTTCTTGCCGGCACCACCTACTGATTTTTCAACTTCTTCTCCGCAACCATCTTCTCTCGTACGTTTTTGTTGCTCTTGGGAAGCTAATGTAGGTTGTGGGTGTGTTTCTTCAACCGCCTCCTCCGAGCCCATTGGAATATCGGGTTCAGCAGCTGGCGGTACCTTCACTGTCAGCGATACTAGGTTCCCGTTCACCGCTTCTAACTTCATTTTGCCACGGTTTCGCTTCTTTCGTAGCAGCTCCAGATTTTCTTCTATCTTATTGAAATATATTTACACAAACTTAGTTACTATTTTTCTAATTTTTCACACAAAATTTTCTTGTTAGATGTTTTGTTTATACTCATAAATACCAAGAACAAATTAAAATGTCCAATTGGAATTATGTGTGTAAGTGCAACAAATTGATCAAAGTTTGGCAGCACTTCAAGTACTTGGTAAAAAGTACCCTATTTCAATTAAGCAACATCGTATCCACGCTACGTCAAAATCAGAAATTATAAATTAAAACTATATTATTATATCCAGTAAAGACTATTCTTTCCTAAATGCATCTCCATAAATAAAAGGAAAATTTAGTTTGCTTACTATGCTTGTCCAAATATTCAATTTTGTTAATTAAATAATAATAAAAATACAGAAGAATGTAATACTACTCATTGTCTCGACTACACTGAGATAATTTTTTATTCAGCAAGGGATATAAGTAATCGATATTAGTAACGAATTCTGAAACGCACTTACATCGATTATATCACTAATTGTCAAAGTTGTCATATTTGCAGTCTGTCGAAGAAGTAAGTTTTTAATTTAGTGCTCACTGAATTTCGTTTTATAATCAAATAATTTTAGGAGTAAAAATGGCATTTGGTGACTATCCAGCTGAGTATAACCCAAAGGTCCATGGACCATACGATCCAGCACGTTTCTATGGCAAAGGTTTGTAAAATTTATATAGAAAATGTGACGGGTACCATTACGTAATGACGTTTCCAAAAGCAGATTTAGTTCTTCCAAGAAATGTGTACACATATTATTAAAAAATGTTTTTCTTTACAGCTGATGTGCCGTTCGGTCAAATCAAAGTTGGTGAGATTGGCGCTTGGTTGAGTCGCCGCAACAAGTCACCCCAAGCTATTGCTGGTGCCGTTAGCCGTGCCTGGTGGCGCTGGCAGCACAAATACGTGCAGCCAAAACGTGCAGGTGTTGCACCATTTTTCCAGGTTACCCTTGCTGCTATGACCTTCTTCTATGTAATCAATTACGGTAAAATGAGGCACCACAGAAATTACAAATATCATTAAGCAATTAGATTGATATAAAAATACCGATGCCGCAGAGTTATGGCTCGTGCACTGTGAAAATGTGTGAAGTTATGAAAAAATAAAAATAAACTTGTATAACTTTCGTGTTCCGTATTTGCGAACAATCGAAGTGTGGAATAGAAAATAAATCAATTTCCAATTGAAACAATTATAATTATTTGTAAATGACTTTTATACTTGTGTGGTATAGTAGCAATTGAAAATGTTTGATTATTTCTTTGAAGCAGTTTTACAAGAAACTATGTTAGGTTCGGCCGTCGAAACTGAAATACCATTCTCGAATGCATTTTTATAGGATAACATATTTAAAAAAGGACGCTGTTCTTGACTGTGGTCTGTCAGTTTGTACGGCAGCTTAGACAATAATCTGTGCCAAATTTTGTGATGACAAGAACTTGATCGATCATAGCATATAGCTGCTACACAAACTACAGCTATATGCTATGATGGTCCGATATTACAAGTTCCGCAAATGAGCAGAATCTTTGGGAAATCAGGAAATGTGTAAATTTCAGATCAATAACTCAAAAACGAGAAACGTTGGTGAGACTTTCACAGAATCGTCCTGTAAGTATGCGATCAATCCAGAATTTGTTGGAGGTGAATTCAAATTCGTGCAAAAGGTAGATTTGCACAAACGAACGTCCAATCCATTATTTGAAGTATTAAAATTTAGTTAGCAATTGAAATCTTGTGGTCATCATAGGGACAAATGCAAACCTAATAGAATTAACTGCTTAAAATACACTACATCTAAGTTAACTAATCCTTTGAATTCTCTCGTTCATGTATAATTTTAACAAGTAAGGAGCGCTAAGTTCGTGTGCAACCGAACATTCTGTACTCCAAAAAATTACAAGAATCAAAGCCAAGGAAATCATATAAAGTAAAGTCAACCGGATGTTCGAAAATCCCGATATTAGTTAAATAGGGGATAGGACAACTTTTCGCTCAAATTTATCTATTTTAATCACAAAAATACGCCGTTATGCATAAAAGTCGCTCTCCTATTTTCATTGGGATAACTCACAAAGTCACCACGTAAATCGAAAATTTTTATAATAAGTATATGGGAACTAAGGAAAGCATTCATCCGATTGAACCTATTTTTGACATAAGTATATGCACACCATTATATGAGAAGGATTATCCCTTAATTTCAGTTATTTATAGCACATATTGACCGACGTCCCGGTTAGGATGGTAAGGGTTATCTAGGTTGTGAATGAATGAATGACCATATTGGATATGTCGGGGTCTACTCTGGACAAGAAGGAGTTTAACCTGCTACAGTATGCAGAATGAAGTTGCGCTAGGGTCACTCGCGGCAACTCGAGCTCTACTCGGCGTACTGTTCAATGTCGTCGCCGTAGTTAAGGGAAGATCTCTTGATGTTCCTAGTCATTCCTAGAGGCATTCTGTCGTGGTCCGGAGTACAGTATTCTGGCAGTTCTGAAGTTTTCTCACCTGCGTACCACTGCATCCATTCGACCATATTGGTGCGGCGTAATTGAGGAGCGGCCGGCCGATTGCCTTATAAGTTTTCAACAACGTTTCTTGGTCCTTTCCCCATGTACTGCCGGCTAGCGACTTGAGGATTTTGTTCTGTGCCTTGGCGATAATGGTCGTATGGGCAGTGATGGAGCACAGAAAATCAAATGTTACACCTAAATCTGATCAGGATTACCGACAGTAATTGACGTCATCGCCTTCGATATTAAGTTCAAGTCTATACTCCTTCGTCCAGTTCGTAAATATGGTCGCTGTGAATTTGGTGGGAGAAAGTGTTAGGTTCTGTGCAGTGAAGAAATAAGAAAGGTTATCTGTTTACCTTTGAACACATGCCCGATGTCAATATCGTGCAATCATTACGGTTATGGAAACTCCTTCTGGTGGCTGTGGGAGTTTCGAGATTTAGAAGTTAAACAGTAGCGGGGAGAGGACACAATGTAACTATCTCCTCGACCTTGATCTGTAGTCGGTTGCAGTTAAATTGCAAGACGCGGGTTTGTGGCGGGTGTCTATGAGTGATTGTCAGATCAGAATGGGATTCATGTTGCTTGTTGAAGCTCCTATGGGCCGTGAAGGTTCTCTGCTGGCCACTCGGGTGCAGGGGATGCGCAGTACGCGAACTAGGTGCAGGTTGTACAATAGAGGACAAGGGCACAGTAGAGCATTAGCAACACAAGGCCACGTAACTTATGGTCCACTTCCTGTGTGTCTTAAGGTCTGAGCAGGTCTAAAGATGGTTCCATCCATTACATGTATTACACCTGACCGAGGTGGAGTTTAGATGGAGCCTTTTTGCACATACGCAGCAGAAAAATTATCCCGAGCCCAGGTTGAACTCAATGCCAGCACGAGTCAGGAGGATATGGAACAACGCTGCTGCAAGGAGTTGCTCCAGGGTCGACAAACTTAAACTAAAACTTCGCGATCTAAACCGGGTTAGATCACCCAAATAACAGCCCTTAGCTGGATAAAATCCGGGTCGACTCCGGTGCATAGAATGTGGGAATTGTAGAAGAAAAGGTTGTGGTAAACTTAAACCATTCTACCATCAATCCTCACCAATGCAAAGTCGTTGCTTTTTCTGTAGATGACTCTCTATTTACTAATCTGTTTGATGAAGATATGATGGTTTTTAACTGAACTAAGTTAAAAGTAAAAGCATTTGTAAGTATCAAAGGTAGATAATCACTCGAAGATTTAATGCAAGATTTAAAAGACAACGATAAACTTTTCGGTTGTGCAAAGAGATCACCGGAAATATGCTTGGAGCACCCATTTTAACTGAGAAGTTTAATGGAGAAATGATACTGCTACAGCAAACCTGTTTCAGAAGGCTACCGTTTCCAATTGCTCCATTTCAGCATTTGTCAAGAATAATTTCATCGTTCTTTTGGATTTATAAGCATAACATCATTTAATTTTTAGTGTAGAATTATTTGTATAAATGCAGTCAAATGGCAATGCTGACCGTAATCTTAACTTATCTAAAAATTGCGACATCTGTTGTTAAATATTTTTAAATGTCATCCGACGCGTGTGTGTTTTTCTGATTATCTTTCTCTTTGTGCTCATTCGTTAATCGGCCGCTGATATAAATTCAAGTATAATTTTTATGCGGAAAACTTTTGCGTCGAATCGGACCATTTCTAAATTTAATATCTTATGTTAGTAAATTAAATATAACAGTGTGCGCGGTAGATACAAATATCAAAATACAAAATTAGTGAGTTTTATTTACAAAAATTTAGATGTGTAGTGTTAAGAAAATACAAATTTAGCTATGTGTTGTGTTGAATCTCTGCCAGTGCTAAACGTAACGGCGCAGTGGCAGAATTCTTTAAGTATGCAAGCGTTATAATAAGACATAAAAGAGGCAAAAAAGTTGGCATAAATGTTGCCTTTGTAAAGGAAAATCAATTGCAAAGTTGTGAAAAAGTGATTTTATTCAATATTCAATTAAATTGTTTACCTCCAATCGTAATTGTAAAAGAGGATTTCAATTACGTGATAAGTTTCCAATCGGACATACATTTATACAACTTGTACAGTGTTAATATAAATATTATACATTAATTTCGAGGAAGGTAAATTTGGAATATATCTGTACACTAGGAACTATTTCAAATAATAAAATTTTGAAAAAAATGCAAAGCTATATGTAGAATGAAGCCTTGAGGGTTTTTACCGCGCGGGGTTTTAGGTATATTGATTCTGATTGTCACTTGCATCTTTTACTTTAAAAACACAAATACAAAATATATATGTACATAATATATTTCCACTTTTTTTTTATTTAATGCTTTATTATTTTTCATATGGCTATACATATATAGTATGTTAATTGATATGGCTAATGTTACCAATGTTATATCAGTATTTGTCCAAAATAAATATTACGCACGTATGAACACAATAAAAAAAATATATATTTATACATTTATAATTACAACAATTATGTATTTTTTATATAATTAATTTATAACTGTATAATAACAAAAGCATTCCGTTTGCTTTCTATACTGTTATTAATAATAGTAATGATCTTCAAACAAGATAACTGTGATTAAGAGAAAATGTAAACTTCGTGTATAATTCTTGTATAAAGACTGTTTAATTCAATAATTATATGAAAGCATACGTATGCACTTGTGCAACAGCTCTACACACATATGTTTTTCACAATTTTACTCATATTTTCCCGGGCCACATTACAGTTGTCGCTATTTTCATCAAAAGCAAATCGGCTATTGCCCTCATTTTCTAATTACGCATTTTCGCCTTGCAATCTTTTGCAAATTATTTTTAGTAAAATGCAGCGATAGTTCTAAAAAACTTGGCACCTTGCGTTTGCAAACAGAAAGAATTAAACAAAATAAAGATGAAAACAAAATCGGTTGATACGGTGTATTAAATGTTCATTTGTGCTAATAAAATTAAAACAACAAAAAAAAAAAAACGTTAACTTCTTCTACAGCGAAGCTAATATACCCTGTGTTCAGTTTATATCGAAGCTATATGCTATAGTAATCCGATCCGAACAATTTTTTTGGAAATTATATTATTACCTTCCATATATTCTATAGTAAGAATAAGAACTCTTTTCCGATCGTTCAGTTTGTATGCAGCTATTTTATAGTAAAACGATCTGAAAAATTTCTTCGGAGATTACATTGCTGCCCTAGAAAATAACCTGTGCCAACTTCTGTGAAGATACATTGTGAAATGTGAATGCTTTCCATACAAGAACTTGATTCCGATCGTTTAGTTTGTATGGCAGCTATATGTTATTGTGGTCCGATATCGGCATTTCCGAAATGTTATCAGATACTAAATATTATATACATACTTACGAAACGTTCATTTATTTATCTGAATCCACAATACTGATCACATACTTAGCATTTTTAACGCTAGACTTTCGAGGATTCTGATTTGCTACATATCATAGTGTTATCGTCACTTAAATCTTATCGAAACAATTTTAGATTTTTTTTTTAAGGATTACTGTTCACTACATCACAGACAAAACTTTAAGTCTAAAGTATTAGATATAAGAAATAATAACTAAAAAAATTTCTTATCAATATGAGTAGTTTCTATTTTGAAACTTTTTCTTCTCTTGTAATTTTATAAAAAGTGATGTTG